GTTTGTGTATTTAATTTAAAAAATGTATTGTCCTTTATTATATGTAACATTTTTTTATAGATATTTTATACATCCATTCGATGTTAATCACCAGAAGTTAGTTCTACCTTTTTTTTTTTTTTTTATTTGCATTTACTCCCAACAAGGCTGCAAGCAACCACTATTAAGTTGGGAGTTATTAGGAAAAAAAAGAACAGAGTTATAGAGCAAGGAAACGGTTGACAGAAGACTTGAAAAATTGAAGGTTGTATGAGTCAGGAAAACATGAAGATGGGAGAGAGTTCCAAAGGATTGAAGTGCGGGGAAAAAAACTAGATGAATAAAAGTTTTTAGAGCATGCAGGGACAGTTACAGTAAACGAATGAGACTTAGCTGAATGACGAGTAAAACGAGAATGAATTTTAGTTGATGGAACTAGAGGTGATAACTCCTTTGAGCAGTGACCATGATAGTATTTGTAGAAAAGAGAAAGAGATGCAACTTTACGACGATGGGAAAGAGGCTCAAGCTTAGCAGATAGTCCAGGTCCAACAACATTTACAATGCGTTTTTGGACCTTGTCAAGAAGAGAAAGTGAATCGTTAGAAGAACCAGCCCAAATATGACAATAGTATTCCATACAGGGACGAATAAGAGATTTGTAGAGGTAGAGAATGGAATCAGAAGTAAGGAAATGGCGAGCACGATAAAGAGAAGCAACCTTAGCAGAAGCTAATTTAGCAATCGATTGTATATATGGTTTCCATGAAATGTCAGTAGTAAGTGATAATCCAAGAAGACGTAAAGAGGAGGACTCAGTAAGAGGATTGCTATTCATTAATATAGGAATGTTGACCATATTACAGTAGTTGTTTGCAGTAAGCAACTGGGTTTTTTTAGAGTTGAAATTCACAAGCTACTGTGAACCCCAATCTTTTACTGAAGTGAGATCGGATTCAAGATCGGCTGCTTGTTCTAGGCGATCGAAAAGAAAAGACTTTTTGTCAAGACAGGAGTATAAAGTTGAGTCATTGGCAAAAAGAGCTACTTTAGATGAAAGGTTGTCAGGAAGATTGTTTATGTAGATAAGAAACAAAACAGGGCCCAGGATGGAACCTTGGCGAACCCCAGAAGGTAATGGAAATAAAGAAGAGTATTGGCCTTCAAGGATGACTTTAACAAACCGGTTAGAAAGAAATGATTTGATAATCTCAAAAACTTTCCCAGAAACACCATATGAAGCAAGTTTATGGAGAAGACCAGCATGCCAAACTTTGTCGAAAGCTTTAGATATGTCAAGACCAAGACCTGTGCAGTACCTCTGCTCTACATACCTCCTCGCTGGTTAAAGAATGAAATATAAATCTCATATCAAGTTGGTGTAAAAATTTAGTTCAATAAATTAAGAGTTTGTAAACGTTATCAAAATTTTGAGTGGAGCAATTGTTTTTTTGGTTTAGCATGAGTATGAATCTGATATCAATTGGATGTACAAAGATAGTTTACTACTTTAAGAACCTATCAGTAAACCAACTGATTATTAAACAGTTTTTAATAATTTTAATTTAACAAATTTTCAAAAGATTTCAATTAGTATATTTGTATATTCAAACACTTTATTTACTGAGAAAAGAGACTATAGATTCAAGTGCTATAAAATAATTCTACTACCAAAAGCGAAGTTAATTCAAAAACTTAAACTCAAATTTGGTCATGAATTATTTTTTTAGACTTGGTGAGTCTTTATTTATTAACAACTTAACACCATATTATTAGAACTGTATGCACAGAAAATATGCAAGGAAAATAAGTTTCTAAAACAAGAACTCCTAGGTTTAAAAATGTACTCTTTTAACAGCTAATCCCTCTTTTAACTACATTTTTCATAACTTTGCGAAAAGTGCGGTTTGCTTTCAGACCTCAATAAAGTCTGTTTTAGCTATCCTTCAACAATTAAGTAAGGTTTTTTTGTTTTTATAATAGTCAAACAATGGGTATATTTGAGAATAACTATCAGAAATAAATTTTTCTGATGTTTTTTTTGATAAAAAGTAACATCAAATTACTTGAATTCAGCCGACTTCATCATTTGTCGCGTTTTTTTTTAAACTTATAGAAGTTTTTTTACTAATGCATCAAATGTCGTAAGATGAAACATTTTATTGGTGTTTTTATTGTTTTTACAAAACCAAATTATCTTTAATATTTTAAAAGTTATAGAAGTTTTAGTAACACCCCTTAAGTCAATATTTTCAAAAAAAACCAAGAAGCCGTTAAGCTCGGTTAGAAACAGCCGTGGAGGGTGTTTTAACCTTTAATTGATACATCTTCTTTTTTCTCTATTTTCATTTTTAAATATTAAATCTTCTTTTTTACTATTCCTTTTTTTTTACTAAATTTTCTACTTGATTTATTAACCATATATTATTGTTATGATCTGTAGGGGCTCTATGAAAAGATTAGGTTGGTATTTTGCCATCCATATCTTATTTGAGCCCCTGACTGTTTATAACTTGTACATTTGTAGTTATATTTTATTTTTGGTGAAAGGAAGTTGTAATTTATATAAACAGCGAAATAAAATAAAATTAAAAAAAATATATATATATATATACATATATATATATATATATATATATATATATATATATATATATATATATATATATATATATATATATATATATATATATATATATATATATATATATATATATATATATATATATATATATATATATATATATATATATATATATATATATATATATATATATATATATATATATATATATATATATATATATATATATATATATATATATATATATATATATATATATAGTTTATAAGAAAAATTGAATAAATGTTTACAAGAATTCAAAAAATAAAATAAGATATCGTTTAATACATAATATCATAAATAAACAAAATAAAAGTAAAAATGAGTATATATAAATTTATATACACATTCGCACACTTACACATATAAGCAAACATATACCCATATATATGAACACACACAAACACACATATATAAATACATATATATACATAAATACACACACATACGCACTTACACATATACACATATATATATATATATATATATATATATATATATATATATATATATATATATATATATATATATATATATATATATATATATATATATATATATATATATATATATATACATACATATACACACATAGATATACATATATACATATACGCACATAAATAAGTACAAATATATACATACATGAGTATAAATATATATACACAAAAAATAAAAAGCGAGAAAATGTGATTTGTGATAATGGTTATTGTCAATAAATTTTTAACTTTTTTTTTTAATGATTACAAGGAACAGTTACCTTGTTTTTATTTTTTATTGATATATTTGATATACTTTAAAAGAAAGACTTATAATAAAATAAATCAAAATCTGTGTTTAATAAAAACTGTTTTGAATTTGTTTTGAACTGATGTAGAGAAATTTTCTTTTTTTCTTTAGTTCTGTCTTTAAGATTGGAACTCAAAGTTAAAACCATAAAAACCGAAAGCCAAAACCAACCAGAATAGAAAATTATTTGTCAATCATTAATTAGATCATTAAAAGTACTTTATTAAATTCATCTATATATTTAAATATTTCATAGAGTCATATATATATTTTTATTTTTATCTTAATGAATAATTAACTAAGCAAAAAAAAAAAAAAAAAAAATGGAACATACTTCTTTTTTTACATTGTGTCAATCTAAACTTACTCTAACTTAAAAAAAAATAAGCGTTAAAACTTTCTGTGTAAAGTGTATTTTATAACTTTCATTGTCATTTTTAATAGTTTCTCTTGTTCTTGGTAAACTGCGGCGGTTTTTTCTATGTCCAATCTGAGCACATCTACTCCGAATGCCCAGGAAAACTACTGGAACAATATGAGCTGGATACTTGGTACATATATATTCTGAGTACACAGCAAAATTGTTAAAATATTTTATGGGTACCCGGAATAAAAAAGTAATGGATATCTGGTTTAAATTATTCCGCCGGTTTCTCAGGTACTTATATCTAGGTACCCGGGAAAACCGGCCGAATAATTTAAACCACATATCCATCACTTTTTTGTTCTTTTTTTTTATTTTTTGTTCGGAATAATTTAAACCAGATATCCATTACTTTTTTAATTTGTTGGTCACGTGGTCGGGACAAAATGGCTTATATCGCCTTTTAATGTCTCTAATTTTATGACATTTTAAAAACTACCAACTAATCTATCTGAAGTACAACAAATAAAAAAATCTAGATAAAAGTTACACCCGATAAAAACCACCCATTAGCAATAGCTCTAACCTTAATATATATTTTTTTCCGGGTCTTAGCCAAGCAACCACTTTATTTATATATTCTATAGAATATATAAATAGCTTATTTATATATTCTATAGAATATGTTTATCGGTTGTAACTTTTATCGAGATTTTTTTATTTGTTGTACTTCAGATAGACAGTTGGTAGTTTTTAAAATGTCATAAAATTAGAGACATTAAAAGGCGTAATAAGTCATTTTGTCCCGATCATGTGACCAAAAAATTTATAAAGTTTATTTTTACTTGGCTTCATTTTTATTTATATTGTATACTTTTCTTTTTGCAAACTAAAGACTTATGCAGTCAATGAATCGTTATGATCAGACAAACAAAATCGCACAGTGTTATACCTTCATAACTGATAGTTTTGCAAAAACTCAGGATTTTCAAAGCGTTAACCGTTTTGACGTACTCTTCAAAGTCAGACCTGTTTTAGTGTTTTTTCACATTTTTTTTTCTCTACTTAAAATATCTTTTTATTCAATATTTTTGTTATGAGTACTAAGTGACGCTATAATTTACAGAAAAAAACACATTTAGTTTTATTTTGTATCTAATGATAATTTATTAGCATTATACCGTGTATTACGTATACAAGGTTGTAAACATTAAACAAAAATAATATAAGTATAATTTTACATACCAAAAAGATAAATTCTTTAGTAAATAATTTCATATTTATCTGCGTTTAGCGTGTATAAAGATCATTAATATTTTGCTCATTAAATACTAATATTTAAGGAAAATGTGAGAATAAGAAGACTAGCCTTAAAAATATCGCGATTCTATATCTATATAGATTTAATATTATATAGATTTAATGTTTGTCTTCGACAAGGTTGTTATGGCAACTTTGCTCTATTTTGCATAATGTATAACAGCGCCTTATAAAAATCAAACGCATCGCTTGAGTTTCTTAATTACATTTAGGTACTTGTCATAAATTAGATAATTTATTTTTATTAGACAGACAGCTGCTATTCATAGTTTGTTTGAAGCCTGGTTTAGATGACAAGCAATAAAAAAAATAGATTCGCAAAAACGTCACTCGTTTTTGATAAATTTTCTAAATTAAAAAACTATATTTTTAAAAACATGTTTTTGCTCATGTCAAAAAATTATTTTTGCATGTTATACTGCAGCCGTATTCTCATCTCTCCGTTAAGCTTAACGGAACTTTTGTTTGAAATTTCATTACAATATTTCTAAGTGAAGAAATGACAAAAACTTTATTTAAATTTTTTAATATAAAACTAATACTAAAATAAAACATTAAAAAATTATAAAAAGAAATTTTCTACTAACGCTCCGTTAAGCTTAACGGAGAGATGGGAATACGGCTGCTGGTTTATTTAGATTAAATTTTAAATTTGATAAAAGTATAGGAAATATATACATACTTTACCTTATTATGTTAACAAAGTCAAAATAACAAAGTCAAAATTGCCTAACTTAAAGCATCAAATAAGTGTTCTTTGTAGCTTTTTGTCATTGGTTTGTGCTTTATTTGTTTATATAGGAAACTTACTGTAAGTGATACGACTTACAGAAGTATTTTTGAGACTTGTAAGAATGTATAAAAATCAAGCAAAAGGTAAATTTACCGTTTTACAAACAAACTTTAATTATCAGCGAATTTAAAATTTCATTAAAAATATTTTGGCGTTTAAAAGTTTGAAACTATGTTGAGTACCTTGTTAATTATACCATAGTCATAGTATTTAACTAGTCTGGGAACGCGGGCCATTTTTTTATAACACTTAAGTTCTTCTCTATACTAGTGCTCAGGTTTCGAAGTGTGTGTGTGGGGGTGTGTGGGATGCACAATAAATTTGTGAAAAAAGTCCTCTATATAAAGATTTTTCTAAAAAAAGGTCCTTTAGAAAAAAAGTGGGAGGGCACGCGCCCCTCTAGCCCTTTTGGTGTTGTCGGCCCTGGTGCTCACCCTATTTTAGAGCGCATCAAATTGTAAATAATTGGCCGGGTGAATAAAAAAAAAGAATTTTTTTTTACTCAATAATTGTTCAGCTTCACGTGAATAAAATTTGAGCAAAATTCCTCAAATTTTTATTCATATTATTTATTTTATATATATAAATAATATATATTTTGTATTACGAAATATATATAATATTTATATATATTTCGTAATACGAAAAATATATATGCAATCGATAATTTTTTATTAAAACTGAATAACCAAAAAAAGCACAGTTTTCTCCTGCCATTTTTGTCATTATTAATAAAAAAATAAAATTAATCAATTTGAATAATAAAAAATTTAAGTAATAATAATTTTCTTCCATTAATAATAAATGTAATTTCAAGACAGAGTTTGTAGTGGTTTAAATATGATATATGAAAATATGTTATAGGTGCAAATATTTCATCGATTGTATAACTAGGTGGATGTCTATGGGTATAATGGCTTATTGTTATAAATTCAAAGAATATTTGTTTGAAATGTTAGTTAATAGAGCTTAATAAACTTTATATTTTATATAAAGTTTACTTAGCTGGACTAGTTGATAATTTATATATCACTCTTTACATTATGCTGGTATCTTTTCTGGTAACAAGAATAATTCAGGTACAGTTTTATCATTTTAGTTTGTTTAGAAAGACTTGCTCCCGGATCACACTCTAAAAAAAGTTAAAAAAGCTTAATTATAATTTTTTTATTATGCTGTATTGCAACTTATAAATAGAAAATAAAAAATTATACTTGATGCAAAAAAGGATAACAGTAACAGTATCGAAAACAGCCGAACTGATTAATCTCGAAAAGGGAATTTCCGGAATAACATCGAAATTGTAAAAAAAGAAGTTGTATCGAAAATCCGAAGAATAGAATAATCTCGAAATTGTGAAAAAAATAAATAAACTTTTTGGAATAATATCGAAAAAGAGAATATATTGATATTGTTAAAAAGGAATAGAATCGAAAATCCGGAAAGCAAAATAATCTCGAAACAGCTCAAAAGAGAAAAATATTGAACAGGGACTTATTGGAATAATATCGAAATTGTGAAGAAAGGAATAGTATCGAAAATTCAAAAAACGGAATTACATTGAAATTGTGAAAAAAGGAACAATATCAAAATGGGAATTCCCGAAACTGTGAAAAAAGCAATAAAATCGAAATCACATTATCGATGTTAATCAGTTAAAATAATTTTTCGATCTTATTCCGTTTTTATTGTTTTCGATATTGTTCCACATTTGTGAACTTTGATATAAAAACTTTTCGATATTAATCTGAAAATCAAATTTTCGATCTTAATCATTAAAATGAGTTTCAGTCAGTTATTTTGTCTCATAATGCCAGCATTTAACACAGTCAGAATATCGTGCTTCCGAACCAATAAATTGGTAGAGTGTAATGACAGATTTTCAAAAACTTGATTGTGTATGTTAAAATAATTAATGAATAGATATTTTTGTTTCACCCTTTAACTTGTTATAGACTTGCTGACTTACTAACTTGCTAATCTGCCAGATAACGGAGAGAGGAAAGGAGAAGCGCAGAGGACAATGTCCCCTAATTATTTTCAAAAAGACCTTTTTTTATTTTTACAAAGTCGGTGTTTAAAGTAGTACTTATTGACATTTTAAATTTTTTTAGTGCATTGATCCCAATCCGCCCCCCTTTTCCCCATGAAAGTGTCACGCCATGAAATATATATAACCGGTCATATAACAGGTCATATAACAGGTCATCGAAATATGTTCATATTACATAAAAAGAATGACATATATGTCATTCTTTTTGATTATTACAGTTTTTTCTGAAAGATTTTTGTCAAATTTTTTCTGAAAAAAAATTTAACAAAAAAATCTTTAATCAAAAAAAAAAAATTGACTAAAACAGTCAATGGTCATAAAAAATACCTCTTTTTAGTAACTTTGTCACCTATGAGGCAGCTGAAGACATTGAAATTTTTGAAAATTTTTTTTCAATGTTTGAACACTTACCAAAAGAAAACTTTTTCTTGCTGTTACATATAAATATTCCACTTTTAATTTTTTCACTGCACTCTAATATATATATATATATATATATATATATATATATATATATATATATATATATATATATATATATATATATATATATATATATATATATATATATATATATATGTCATGCCCCCCCCTCCTTTTATCATTCACGACCTTCCTGCGCCTCTGATAATACGTACTATATAATCATTGTATTATAATGTCATATACTTTATTATAGTATATAACATTATAATATAATGATTATATAGTATATAAATTATTATTATTATATATATATACATATATATATATATATATATATATATATATATATATATATATATATATATATATATATATATATATATATATATATATATATATATGTATAAATATATATATATATATATATATATATATATATATATATATGTATATATATATATATATATATATATATATATATATATGTATATATATATATATATATATATATATATATATATATATATATATATATATATATATATATATATATATATATATATATATATATATAATAATAATAATAATAATAATTTATATACTATATAATCATTATATTATAATGTTATATACTATAATAAAGTATATGACATTATAATACAATGATTATATAGTACGTATTATCAGAGGCGCAGGAAGGTCGTGAAAGATAAAAGGAGGGGGGGGGGGGCATGACATGAGGGGGGGGGGCATGACATTGCTGTATCATACATAATTAAAAAACATTTTCCTTTTTACATGCAGACATGTAAAAAGGAAAATGTTTTTCAATTATGTATGATACAGCAAAATAGATTAAATCTATTTATTCATATATTTAACACGCGCAACGTGATTAATCATCTCTTTAATGTGGTTAGTCATCTTTTGTCACATATTCATTTAAAAAATAGTTAGTATGCGATAGTATCTTAAACAGTTTTATTGATATACTTTTCCATAGTGATCTTAAATTGTGATTGAACCATTACAAACTCGAAAATGATAATTCGCAGCTATTATAAAAGTTTTTTTAAAACTGTTTAGAAAATGAAGAGGGAAAGGAGGGAGGAGAGGGGGAAGAGGGGAAGGAAGGGGGGCTAATTGCAGTGTCCGCCCCCCTCATTCCACAGTGTTTTAGTTTTTTTATTTTTATTTATTTGCCTTCAATAAAAGAAATTACATTTACAGAATAGCTTTATTACAAATATAATCGGCAGAACTTCCAGAAGATCATACGATCTTATCATAAAGCCCTTTACAATATCAAATATAATAATAAGAACAATAAAATCAAATTAAGCAATAAAAATAAATCAACATAAAATATACTACACTGGATAAATTATATGAAATATGTGAAACAAATGAACTAAAGACAAGAAAAAATATTTTTTGCTGAAAAGATTTTAATTTTCGTTTGAAAGAAGTTAAAGTCAAATTCAATGACAAATCAAAATTTGGCAAAACTATTTTATTCCATAAATAAGGACCGCGCTAAGAAATAATTAGTTGTTCAAATTTAGTTTGGCAGAAAGGTACTTGTAGATTTTTTCTATTGCGAAAATTGTATTTGTTTATGGGTTTTACATTATAAAGGTTTATAAATACATCAGAAGATAAATGATTTTTATATTTAAACATGAAACATAAAATATTATAAACATTTAGCTCGTATACATTTAAGGCTTTCATTTCTCTCAGAAGTGGTTTTGAATTTGAAAAACGATTTGCAAAATTATTTAAGCGAGCTGCGTTTTTCTGATGCTGATAAAGAGATTTAAGTTTAATTTTGTGCGCTCTTCCCCATACAATATTTGCATAATTTAAATGGCAGTGGATAAACGAATAATAAAGTTGTTTTAATTGTTGTTTATTTAAAATATGTCGAACTTTATATACAATTTTAATACTTTTAGCAACTTTCAAGGAGATATTATTGATTTGTTGTTTCCATGATAAGTTTTTGTCTACAAGAACTCCGAGAGGTTTTGTAACTTTTTTCCCTTTTTAGTATTGTATTATCAATGAAGAGGTAATTATAACTATGATTAATTATAACTATGTCATAGTTATAATATATACTTTGATGACATGACTTAGATATTATCTAGGCTATGCTAATAACATATAACATGCTATAACATTGTTATAGCATTTTTTTAAAAATTCTAATAGACATATATATATATATATATATATATATATATATATATATATATATATATATATATATATATATATATATATATATATATATATATATATATATATATATATATATATATATGCATGTATGTCTGTAATATACATAATATATAAAAGTAAAGCTAGATTTAGCGCGGTTCTCTTACAGAAATAATAACAATAAAAACCACGGAATCAAGGCACATTTGTTATAATTATAGTAGCATATAGTTCTATTGTTTATAGCTTTGTATTGAAAATTAATCACAGAACCTTGAATGACCCAATTTTATAAAAAACAGGATGATCGGTCACACACATACATACATACACACACACATACATACACACATATACACACATTATAGTATATAAATCATTTATATATATATATATATATATATATATATATATATATATATATATATATATATATATATATATATATATATATATATATATATGTGTATATATATATATATATATATATATATATATATATATATATATATATATATATATATATATATATATATATATATATATACATATATATATTTATTAATTTTATATTACATATATAAATATCTTACAAAATATTTCTTTAGTAATATTTTACTTTTACAGATCCTAAAAATGGAAAATTTTTTCAGCTGGCTTGGAGTGAGAGATGACCCGTTTCTAGTTTTTGTTTGACCTTAGTTTTGTTGGACTTATAGTAAGAGATAAACCGCTTCTAGTTCTGGCTCGGACTTGGAGTAAGAGATGACCCGCTTCTAGTTATTTCATCAGAAATAAACTGTTTTGGAACTAAAGTATTATCATCAGATATTGTTCTTGTTACCCTGAGAGATGGAATTCTTGATTAATTCTCTATAATTAATGCAAAATCATTAGCATCAGGATTTCTTTCTGTGCTTGAGAGACTGCTGCAACAGCATTTAATTGGTAATGCTACTTCTGAAGTTTTGAAAAATGCTTCTTCAGCACCAGTGCATAATATGCACAGTGAAAGAGTTGTAAGGTAAGGTTGATGCTTAAAAAAAATGGCTTCTAATGCTATTATAGGTTTTTTAGACAGTAAAGTGAAAATTAAAGTTAATAAAACAATGGATTGACTGTTGTAAATTAAACAAAGTCCTATTATAATACTTGCTATAACACAGGGATCTTTTACCAGTTTATCATCACAGAAAAAAATTTAAGAGCTGCAGCAAATATGCAACTGGAAGAAACAGCTCAGAAAAAAGACAAATTGGAAAGAAAACGGAATAATCAATGCAGATCTTAATAAATATCTTCAATCTGTAGCTCTATCGGTTCTTTTAGAGGAAATAAAAAATATCGCGTTAGCTTTTCTAAATAAAGACATTAAACACTGACATTTTAGGGGTAAATATCAGTCACGTTTAGGAGGCGGATGGAAACGATGTTTCATTTTTTGGTTCCATTATGTCTTTTTCTTTTAAAAAAAGATTAGATTTCGTAAATATTTTGTACATTGATGATAGTGGTATAACAAACTTTAATTATTAGGGTATTTCTCACTAACATGGTTCTTGGATTTGTGAGTTTTCTGGCTGTGTTATATGGTCACTGATTCAGAAAAAGGATGTTTGTGTTTCTCAACCTTTTAAAAGCTAATAGTTTTTTTTTATGTTTATCTAGGTGTTTTATGTATATATATATATATATATATATATATATATATATATATATATATATATATGTATATCAAGCCTTCCCGGGAAGAGCGTGCAACGTACAAGTTGTACGTCCACGCCTATAGTAATTTTTAGGCGTGAGTAACAGTTTGATAAACACAAACCTAAAAGTATTTTTATTTCTGAAAACAATAGTTTTGAATTAAAGACAGGACTGTTACGAAACTGTTCTAATAAAATATCGATTGATTCTTAACTGGTATTGAAGGGTAAAGATTAACAATATCGAAAGAAACTTGAAATTTACCAGGATTGATATGCCATGATTGAGCACATTCAACAAATTGTTTTGATATTCGAAGGTTTGTTTTATTAAGATTAGAGGTACGTTGAATGAGACTTACTAAATAATTTGATAGTTTATATGTAGGTGACCCTATTGCGCTTACTATAATTTGTATTGCGTAGTTATTAGTTGCTTTGTGTGACTTGATGACATAAAATAATCGTGGAGGAGTGGCGTCATTTGGATAAATTAATCTATATTTATTTTTTGTAAACTTTGTTTTCAGATTTTGTAAAGTATTCTAAACTTTGCGAATGAGTTTTTGAGTTGGATCATAGTTTATGACTTTAGATTTTTCGAGTTCTTCAGTTTTTTTAAGAGCATCAATTTTTTTTAATTTGAACAAAGGCTGATTTTTTATCAAACGGATGAATACTAATTGTGTTGCTAGATTTTTTAAACAGTTTAAAGCTCTCAAAGAAGTTTTTTGAGAGCTTTAAACTGATCTTTATCTAAATTTGTTGAAACCGGTTTATGCATTTTCAAAACTTGAAGTACATCTTGTTTAAGTTTATTTGCATCAGTATTTTTGTTTAAATACTTTAACTTTAAAGCCGTTTCAGTTATACTTATTATTTCCATATATGGAACTTTACTCGGAATAGGAACAAAGGTCCTAAATCAAGTAATTTTTTGTGATGTGTTGAGATATTATCAGCACATGAACTAAGTGTTACCTCTTTCATAAACTTGTAGTTTCTTTGGTTATCGTTATCTTTAATCGACTTTCCTTTATTAATAAATCAAATTTGTTTTTTAGCATATTTCTAATAGACATTTTCAAAAACATATACTTTTAGGATTTATCTGTAATGTTTGTAATTCTTTGAAATCTTCATTATTTACATAGATTTTATGAGTTCATCCAATTTTTCGATTAAAATTATGTAGTTATAATAACTTTTTTTTGCTAGCTTTTAAGTATGTAGAAGTAGATTTTTTTTAACTTTCATCATTAACTCCTTCTTTGTTCAAATACCATAGTTGCTAATCTTTACGTTAGATTTATCTTACGATGCTTTTTTAGCATACCGTAAACAGAGACAGTTCTACGAATAAAATGAGGAGGAGGGGGGGCGATCGAACCCTTAAAAATAATAAAACCTTAAAAAAAAAATTTCTCAATACTAAAAATCCGACTAAAAGTGTTATATATCCAACTAGCCGACTATATTTCTCAAAAAAAAAAAAAAAAAAAAGCTTTCACCTTCTTTGGGAGCCCCCCCCCTACCGTAAAATCACCTTTGAAAGTAGATCGTAGTAGCGCCTATAGAAGGCAAAATAGGCAATCTACAATAATATTTTTGCAGTTTGTTAATCTACTTATTCTATGTAGTTAAATGTTTTTTAATATTTTGAATATATATACTTTTTGTATATATAAAAATAGTAAATAATATAAATTTGCTTCAAAAATATATATTTTTTTGTTGACTATTTAAAAATAGTCAACCAAGTCGATAACTGTTAAAAATTGATAAGTGATAACCTTTACAATATGACAAAAGAAGAGAAAAAAATAAACAATCAAGAGATTTGTATTCATGAGCTAACCAAAATTAAGGTAACCCTGATCCTGATAAACTTTTTAGTTGTAATTTATTACAATTTACAAGTTGCTTAAAATAATCAAAGCCAAAAACACAAAGCTTGTTTTATTTAATTCTAGAGATAACATTTAAAAAAAACATAAAAAAAAAATTCTTGAATAGTAAATTATAAATAACCAACTTAAACTTAAATCATAAAAAAAATATTTAAAAAAATATTAATAATCTATAAATATTTCAACTTAGTCTTTATCATTTGATTATTAAATTAATTTTTTTTAATCAACTGCCAGAAAATATAAACATGCCTGACAACATGTTTCAATTAAATCGTTTAAGGTTTCGTTTGATAATCTTTTACGTTTCTAAAAAAAAGATTTATATAATTTTTTTTTTATTTGTTAATTTTTACTTTACTAACATACAGCTATTGATAACTAAAATATATTATTATATACAACATATATAGAAATATATTATAATTCTCATATATTATAAAATAAAAAATTTATTAAGATAGAGTAGTTATAAAGCTATAAAGTTAAAGCGTAGCTATGATACAGCGCACAGTGAGGCGGATTAAGTAAAAAACGGCAAAAAATCACGCAAATTTTTTTCAAATTTTATCATTTTTAGATTTAAAATGTTAAAGTAAACTCCTTTTTGGTAAGAAAACAAAAAAAAAAATTCCACAAAAAATATCAAAATGTAAATTTAATATAAGATAGGTGGAAAAAAAAATTATGACCATAAAATTTTGAAAATGTAACGTATTTTAACCGTTATTTTAAAGTTACTTTAAGTGTATTTTTGAATCTCTAATAAATGTTATGTTAAACTACTTTGTTCTTTGTAAATAAAAAGGTATTTTGATTTAATTTTAATTTTTGATTTATTATTTTAAAATGTTATTTTATATGCACAACTATACACATAAGTACTAGCCAATTAAAAGTTCCACGTCAATTATGGTTTAAATAAACTATTAATCTATATTCTAAATAATTCTATAGCACTTTTTGCTCTTTCTTGCTCCTTAAAGAGATATTTTAAACTGAGTAAAGCATAGTCTTGTTAACATCAACGTCCGTCCCCCCTTTTTTTTTTAAAAAAAAGACAGTTTTCGGACGTGTTTGTAAAAACACTCAATAAAATGTTTACATATTTTTCAAAAATTAATTGTCGTTTTATGTCTTAATCTGGCTTATATATTATTACAAAAAGTTTTAGCTTGTTTTTAGACATGAAAAAATTGGATCTATTTTTAAAAATACGTGAATTTAAATTAAATAATAAAAGACTTAATTAAATCCTTATTGAATTTATTAAAACTTCTGAATTAATTTCTGAAAATAAATTAGATAAACTAAATAGGTTATTAAAGATTTTTATTTCTAAAGTGAAAATTAAGCTTAAAAAATACTGCAGAAACTAGGAGAGACTTTTAAAGTTTGAGGCAAATTGGTTGGAGGAAAATCTCTTTAATTACGATATTGTGTTTTATCATTCAAGACAAGAAAGACCAGTTAAGGATTGGGAAGATCTTAGTCAAAGAAGCAAGCGAGCAAAGATTGTAGATCTATCTAATGAATACCATATAGCTCTGTCTCTTGCTGCTTCAAAAAGTGCAAAAGTAGCAAACGAAAAAGAATTATCTTACATTTTGAAAAGAACTTCTAAATGTATTGATGTAGCTCAAATGAGAATAAGTATCGATTCTTTGATTTCCACAACAATGAAATTAGAAGAAGCACTTGTCACACCAAGTCTCTAACTGTTTAGAGAAAAAAAGCTAAAATGTTATCCTGAAGGTGTTCAATTAACTGACACCTCAGCAAAATGCTCTTTACAAAGCATGTTGAATCATACTATTACCAGAATAATTGATATAATTGATTTTAGTGAATGTTTTGAAAAAGAATTAAACGGAATTTTGTATGTAAAAATAGGGTTTGATGGAGCCTCAAGTCAAAGCATATATAAACAAAAATTTGATATCCATAATGATACAGAAGAGATAAAACAAGAAAGTAGTCTGTTTGTCACAGCTATCGTACCTCTTCTGCTTAAAGTTGAAGGTATTGACTTTTGGAAAAATTCAATATGTTCTAGCTGCCATTTTTGTAGACCTATTCACCTGCAGTATAAAAATGAGACTTCACAATTGTGTAAAGAAAAGGCACGCGACCTTTAATCTCAAATTACTGAATTAAAATCTTTCTCAGTAGGTATAAATTTTGCTGGTTCAGTGATCACTATGAAGGTTACTTTTATAATAGATACGACAATGTTTGACGGAAAAGTAATTAACTCATTGACTAATACAAAATCATCCCAGTCTTGTAATGTGTGCAGCTCTAAACCTAAAGAGATGAATAAAATAGATTTAGTGAAAATAAAACCTGAAAATAAGAAAGCCCTTAACCTTGGTATTTCAAATTTACATTGTTGGATAAGATCATTCGAGTTCATATTGCATTTAGGCTATAAAATGGAAAACCAGACATTTCAAGCCAGAACTATGAAAGAAAAGCTTTCTGTAAAGTTAAAGAAACAATTAGTTCAATCAATGTTCAGAGTAAAGTCTCATTGTCGATCAACCTAAGGTAGGTTTTGGTAACAGCAATGACGGAAATACTGCGAGAAAAGCATTTGAGAACTCTGAGATTTCTTCCGAAATAACAGGGGTTGATAAAGAAGTCATAAATAGAATGCACATTGCCCCTATTACAATATCTTCTGGGTACCATATTGACTTTGATAAATTTGAAATTTACTGTATTGATACTGCTAAAACGATTGTTCATAAAAATGGTTGGTATGTAATTCCACCAAGTATTCACAAAATACTGATACATAGTTGTTCCATTTCACAGCAATTTAATTTGCCTATCGCTCAATTTTCTAAAGAAACTCTAGAAAGTCTTAATAAACTAATTCGAAATGCAAGGTTGCAGCACACTACAAAAATTTCAAGACTTAACACTATGAGAGATTACACACACACACACACACACACACACACACACACACACACACACACACACACACACACACACACACACACACACACAGATATATATATATATATATATATATATATATATATATATATATATATATATATATATATATATATATATATATATATATATATATATATATATATATATATATATATATATATATATATATATATAATTAAGAACTCCAATAAAAGACTGCTTAAAATGAGTGAAGCAGTGCAAAATTAATTAAATCGTGTTTCTGAAATCGAATGAGACATTGTACAGCGATTAATTCAACACTTTTGCAGACATTTGATTGTAAGTAGAAAAAATTTCTTAAAATGTCGGTATGAAAAAATAATATACTATTATGATACATGTATTTAGCTCAATTTTTGAAACTCTATTCCAAAAAAAACTGTTTAACTATATGAGTAAAACATTTAAAAATTATGAGTATAACATATGACGTCTTTTTAAGATACATAATAATACATGGTTAATTATACATGTTCACAATAACTAATTAACCTAATATTTCAAGCATTAAATCCTCAGATGATCATGATTATGTTCATTTGATAAATTTTTGATAATTTTACAACTCTAGAACACCAAAAAAAAGCACTATAAAGAATACAGCTGTAAAATATTTTAGGATTAATATATAAGGTCATAATTCATGTTGTAAGGACAATTTTGAAGGTTTTTCCACTAAAAATATTAAGAAGACCATACATCAAGAACACAAACAAAAATCTATAAAAAATATTATTATTATGTATTGATACACGCTTTTAGATCCAGTTGTCAATCTCCAAAAATTAATCCAAGATCATGCAATAACATAAATACATATTGATGTTACGAGTGTTTCTAATTGCAAAATTATCTTTCTTATCATATCATACTTGTTTAACTACAAAAAGTTATAGATTGAAAATAATTTAAAAATTTTGAAAAAACCAAAAAATAACATTTTTGGGGACTTTGGACAAGAGTTACGGTTAACATTTTGGACTGAAAATTTGAATTTTGGGTTTTTTAGGTCACCCGTCACTAGAAAAAAGCCAGGGAGATTGACATTTTTAAACTTTGGTTTTTTCGGAACACCCTAATTATTATGTCGTAATTTTAGATAAAATTGTCAAGCTTAATCTACAAAAATTATTATAAGATCATGCAATAACATAAATACATACTGATGTTACGAGTGTTTCTAATTGCAAAATTATTTTCTTAATCTTTTCATTGGTCACTATTGCTAGTTTTACTAAATCTTTATTGTTTTACTGAATCTTTCACTAATAAATGAATTTTAAAGCTTACAATATTTTTATTTTTGCAGTCTTATACTAAAAGTAGCGTTTGACCAAGATAAAAGTGGTGGAAACAAGACTTACAATCAAATGCTCAATGTTAGTGCAAGTAGTATTATTATGGTTATGTAGTGCTAACTTAATATTCTAATTCACAAAATTCATAATAGAGAAAGCAGTCTTATACTAGAAGTAGTGTTTGACCAAAAGTATTACATTGCAGGAGCAGCAAAACGAAAACTCAAAAAATGATTCAAACAAAAAAAGAGTCAAATCAAGTGTGCATTTTATTGTTTAACAAGGAAATAAAACTAATGAAAGATAATGGAATTATTGTTGAACATAATGACTATAGACACCATTTTATAGTAAACACTGTTGCCCATAGGTCAAACAGAAAGGGATCTAAAACTTAACAAGGTATTTTTAATATCTTTCAAAAAAAAAAAAAAAAAAAAAAAAAAAAAAAAAAAAAAAAAAAAAAAAAAAGAATCAAATAAAAAGAGTTCAAGATGGCTTTGTCATAAGCAGGGATATTAAGTCAAAGCAGCAAATAATATATATATATATATATTCAGTATATAAATATTTTTTTAATTTATACATCTGTGCTTCCAACATAGCTGCAAGCAACCACTAATTAAAGTTAGAAGTTACTGGAAGAGAAAAGATGAAGATTGTAGAGCAAGATAATGATTGACAGATAACTTAAAAGATTGCAAATTATATAAATCAGGAAAGCAAGATGAAGGAAACGAATTCTAAAGAACTGATGTTTGAGGAAAAAAACTAGACAAACTAGACAAATTTTGGAGCACTTAGAAACAGTAACAGAAAAAAGGATGAGATTTTGAATAGTGAGTAACACAAGAATGAATTTTAGTAGATGGCACAAGAGATGTTAGCTCTTTAGAGCAATGCCCATTATAGTATTTGTAGAAAAAAGAAAGAGAAGCAACATTACGACAATATAATAATGGTTGAAGTTTGGCTGCAAGAGCAGGTCAAACTATGTTTACAATGCGTTTATGCACCTTGTCTAAAAGAGAAAGGGCGTCATTAGAAGATCCGCCCCAGGTATGCATATATACTACAACAGTATTCCATACAAGGACGGATTTAAGATATATAGAGATAGAGAATAGAATCTGGAGTAAATGCTCGATAAATGTTAAATTTTATGTTAATGTTATTTCCTTAATTTTAAAGTGGTTTGACTTTGCAAGCGTGTAGAGCAGGTTAGTTCACTTTGCCAGCCAAGCAGTGTACTTAAAACTGAGGTGTGACTTGACAACGTTTAGTGTCAAGGGGTGTTACTGCTTTGCTGTAGCTAGATTGTGTTGTCAAGCAATTTTTAATTATTTTGAAAGTTTTTGTTTAAAATTTATTTTTTTAGTTATAATGGAGATTTATCTTTAGGTAATAATTAAGTTTAGCTAAGTACATTAAACGCTTTTAAGGAAAGAAACTATTTTCCTAATAAAGTAGAGGAGGTTACCAAAAAACTAATAAGTCGTTCATTATTAGAAGTTAACATTTGTAACAAGTATAACAAAGAATCCTTTGATTTCTCCATAAAGTTAAAAAATGAAAATTCAAGTTAACTATTCAAAACAATTTTTTTAATGTAAAACAAATAATATATTAACTAAAAGAAAGAAAAATTTAGCACTAATCAATGGTACTTTTTATAAATTAACAAAACTACAATACCTCTAAAGGTTATAGTTATTTAACTTTAGTCGAGTATTTAACTCTAATTGTTTAATGAAATAGATGAAAAAGAATATTTTGCTATTATTTACTTATTGAAATTAAATAAAGTTGCCAGACATCTTGTATAAATAGGTGAGGAACAGATCATAACCCATTTTTCAGGTCGTCCATGATAGTGGGACTTCTGGCAACCCTATCTTCTGGAATATGCTGTGCTGTGGCAGGTTTTAAAAAAACTTAACTGATGTTAATGTAATCTTTTTATAATGTTAACCCTAAGCATTAAGAATGCTAATAGGAAGCTGAACTTAAAATATTATTTATTGACAAATTTGTATTTAATAATTTTTTTTGAGATAATAGATTGGGTTTTTTTTTTTTTTTTTTTTTTTTTTTTTTTTAACATCTTCACTTCCAACAAGGCTGCAAGCAACCACTATAAGAGTTGGAAGTTACTGGAAGAGAAAAGACTAAATCTGTAGAGCAAGATAACGATTGACTGATGACTTAAAAGATTGCAAGTTATATGAATCAGGAAAGCAAGATGAAGGAAGCGAATTCCAAAGAACTGATGTTCGAGGAAAAAAACTAGAAGAATAAGAGCTTTTGAAGCACTTAGGAACAGTCACAGAAAAAGGATGAGACTTAATTGAATGGCGAGTAACACGAGAATGAATTTTAGTAGATGGCACAAGGGACGCTAGCTCTTTAGAGCAGTGCCCATTATAGTATTTGTAGAAAAGAGAAAGAGAAGCAACATTGCGACGATGTGACAAAGGTTGGAGATTGGCTGCCAGAGCAGGTCCAACTATGTTTACAATTCGTTTTTGCACCTTGTCTAAAAGAGAAAGAGCATCATTAGAAGATCCGCCCCAGATGTGGCAACAGTATTCCATACAGGGACGGATTTGAGATTTATAGAGATAGAGAATAGAATCTGGAGTAAGAAAGTGTCGAGCTCGATAAAGAGATGCAACCTTAGCAGATGCTAATTTTGCAATGGATTTGATATACGGTTTAAAAGAAAGATCAGAAGTAAGAGTTAATCCTAGAAGATGAATGGTAGATGACTCATCTAGTACATTACCATTCATAAATATAGGAAGATCTAAATTATTACGATAACGATTGGCCGAATAAAATTGAGTTTTATCTGAATTAAAGTTCACCAGCCACTGTGAGCCCCATGCTGTAGCAGAAGTGAGATCCTTTTCAAGCTCAGATACCCCCTCCAAGCAATCAGAGAGTGTAGGCTTCTTATCATGACAAGAGTAAATGGTAGTGTCGTCAGCGAATAATGCCACCTTAGATGTGAGAATATCTGGAAGATCGTTAATGTAAATTAAAAAGAGTATAGGGCCAAGGATTGAACCTTGAGGAACCCCTGAAGTTACAGGATGTGAAGAAGAGTGTTGTCCATCGAGGACAACTTTTATACTACGATTGGAAAGAAAGGACTCAATAATCTTAAAGACGTTACCAGCTACACCATAAGAAGAAAGCTTATGGAGAAGACCAGCATGCCAAACTTTATCAAAAGCTTTAGAAATGTCAAGTGCGATAGCCTTAACCTCTCCACCTCTATCTAATGCACGGTAAAACCTATCGGTTATTACTGTTAGCACATCAGCTGTAGAACGAGAAGACCGAAATCCATATTGATGATCAGAAAGTAAGTTATTTGATTCAAGATGAGAGATTAAGTGTTTGTTGATTAAAGATTCAAAAACCTTGCTTATGACAGGAAGAAGACTAATGGGACGGTAGTTAGATGAATCAGATCGCTCTCTGGAATTTTTGAAAATAGGGATAACAGATGCTGCTTTCCAGCATGATGGAAAACAAGACTCTGATAAGCACTTGTTAAATAGTTTAGAAAGTATGGATGAAAGCTCCGGAGAACACCTCTGCAAGACTACAACAGGAATGTTGTCAGGACCACAAGCTGTTGAAGAGTCTAAGCAGGAAATTACTTTAGATACAGAAGCTGAAGTGATGCGAATGTCAAGCAAGGGATCAACCTGTTTGACGGCTATGTCAGGTAAAACGCAACTAGTGGAATCAAGAGATGATATTGATGAAAAGTTCTTAGCAAACAATTCAGCTTTGTCTTTAGGTGAGGTGACAAAGTCTGAACCATACAAGAGAGAAGGAATAACAGATTTGCCTTTATTATTGATACTGTTAAAGATTCTCCAGAAGTCTCGAGAGCCTAATTTTTGTGATGAGATACGAGATTTAATGACCTGGGAATAGCGAGCTTTGGCGTCAGACAAAACCTTTTTACAATGGTTTCTGGCGATAGTGAACAGATGTCTGTTTTCTGGAGAATTGTTTTGCTGATAGATATGGAAGTAACGGTTTCGATTAGAAATTACTGCAGCGCAATGTGAGGAAAACCAAGGAGAAGAGTGAGGCTTGACCTGGAATCGTCGAGAGGGAATAAAGGATTCCATGCCAGCCTGAATCCACGAAGTTATGTAAGAAGCACATTTGTCAGCAGGAAGACGAAAGATTTCTACCCAAGGGCCATCACGAAGAAAATCACGGAAAGAGTCCCAGTCAGCTTTAAGGTAGTTGTATGTGGTACGATGATAGGGGGATTCTGATGAAGTAGAAGAGTTTGATAATAGTTTTAGAGAGATCAAACCGTGATCAGAAGTACCTAAGGGTGAATGTGGAGAAATTGAGCACTGACTAGGATCCAAAACAAGACATAAGTCGAGTAGAGAAGGTAAATGATTAGGGTTGTCTGGAAAACGAGTTGGAAAGTTGACTATTTGAGTTAGAGATTGAGAAAGGCAAAAGTTGAGGGCCTTAACGCCAGCAGAGTCACTGACACTAGAGCCAAGCCAATCGGTGTGATGGGCATTAAAGTCACCAACAACGACGATATTGGCCGATGGATAAAGAGAGAGGGCTTGGTCAATTTGATCAGAAATAACATCAAGAATAGTGCAATCTTGGGATGAAGGAGAGCGATATAGAACAAAGAGAAAGGCGATAGAGTGAAGTTGTGCTAAACGAAAGCACATAAATGAATAGTCTGTAGATTCAAACCTAGTTTCACGACAAATGGGTGAGTTCTTACGAATGTAGATGCCCAGGCCAAGCATGTGGTTATTGGAGTCTTTACGAATTAAAGGAAGATAACCATCAACACTAAGATCACAAGATGGGACAGCCGAACTCAAATTAGTCTCACAAAGAGCAAGTAGGTCTGGTGAACTTTGCAAGAGATAAGACTCAACAGAAGAAAAGTTGCTTCGAAGACCACGAATATTAGTAAATGATAGGTTTAGAGAACTTGGTGATGACGATGGTTTTTTGTGTTTTTTAGTTTTAGGTACTTTAGTCATTTTTTAGTTTTAGGTACTTTAGTCATAGGGTTATATAGTTATTGAAGATTTAGTTACTAAGCAACCCGTATTATGGGTTGCTTGCTACTAGTATTTATAAGTAAACTTACTTGATATACATAATATTTACATAAAGTTTAATTTATTTGTGTAAAGTTTTTCTGAACAATAATCTTATAATATTATTTAGTTAAGATATTATTTTTTTACAGTCCATACTTCAATGTTTGCAATAGGTGGTTAGAGCAAACTTTTAAATAAATGATTGTACCAGATTTTTTTATTTTTATTTTTTTAATTTTAACTTATTACATTAAATATGTATTCTTTTCCTTTTATATTCATGTTGTTATTAAAAAGTGCTTCTTTATTTTGCAAATAATTTGCATGTATGTTTTAAAACTTTTGTTTTACTTAATTATTAACTTACATTAAACATTCACAATAATATTGTTTTAAAAATAAATTTCTTCAATAAATTCAAAATGGGAAAATGATGGAGTGAAAAGAAAAACAAATTTTTTACATACTTGATAGAATTCAACATCAAGTTCAACAGTACAGTTTTATTGAACTTGTTATAAAGGTTTTGTATCTAAAAAACAATTAGTGATCAAATAAACAATCAAATATTTATAATAAGACAAACTAAGTAAGATATTAGTATAAATAAGTTAAAGTAAATACTGCAGTTTTAATTTTGTCTTCCAGTGGATTATATACTTCATCCGACGGATTTGCAAACTGTTCTATGTAATCAACATCTGTGAAAATAATTCCAAAGTTGACTTTCACATCTAAAAACATATACAAAACTATTTTTTATTTTAAAAAGTTAATAGATAATAAAGAGCTTAAGGTACAAATAGAGAGAAAAAAAAACTATAAAAAAAAGTTAAACAAACAAAAAAAAACAACAACTACCAGAACAATAACTTTGTTAAAAAAAATTTTTTTTTAGAGTGGGGAGAAATTAACAGATAAATTTTTAAGGTGTAGATAAATTATAGTGAATCTATAATCCAAAAATGCAAATCATAAAATCCAAAAATTTGTTCTAATGAATTAAATTATATTTAAAACATTCTAAGAAAGTTTTAAATATAATTTAAAATAAGTAGCTCTGTAACTCAGCAAATAATGCTGTTGCAGAGCTTGTTTTAAAGTGTTAAGCTACCGGCAATTTACGTATGAATTACGCTCGCCTAAAGCAATTTGCATGAAGCAACTTTTGTTATTTTTTTAACTTTTAAATTACTCTATATAATGAAAAAAATTAAAACTACAAAAACTTAATCTCTATTAAGCTAATTATTTTATCGAACAGAAAACAAAATTGTATATAGTAACAATTATAGTTTTTTTTTTTATGCGAAGTTATTAAAAAAAAAAAGAAAATATAAAAGAAATATATATAATAAAAACTTTTATTTATCATCTTGAGAGGTAAAATTGTTTATGCAACTTTTGGAAAAAAAAAAATTTACTTAAATTTTTAAGTAAATAGCGCTTTTAGTTTTTTTTCATTAGTAAATAGCGCTTACATTTAACATAATTGTCATTCAAACTTTTTAAAATAATCGTCAAAGTGGTTTTTTAAAAGTTAATTACTTCTTTTATCTTACCGCGTGTTTCATAAGAGATTTTACAAAAAAAAGTAAGTACAATAAGCTCATCAACCCTTCCATAAGTTTAAGAAAACATTGCTATATGATTTTGCATATATCATTTGTTTTTTTGTTGCTTCTGTTAAAATATAACTCGAACTTAATGCAACGCCATCTAAAGAGGCATGTTGATACAGACCACTTGAAGCAAATTGATACACTGTATCATCTTACCCTTTTTGTAAAGTATTTGAATATGACCCAAAATATTTTTACTTATGTATTTGCATTAATGCAATTAAATTGTCTGGTGTAGACTAAAGTTTTTTTTTTTCTCGCAGAGATAGTAAATTGGCCTAATAAAATTTATGTTTTATGTCTTTTGTATTTGTTTACTTAATTTTTTGTGTTTGTTTACCTGTTTACCTAATCTTTTGTGTTTGTTTACCTAATCTTATGTATTTGATTACTTAATTAGCTTTTTAAAGCTTCATTTTCAACTCTTATTAAATGTACAACTTGCCCCTGGCATTAGAAATGACATTAAAAAGTGTTTTTAATGTCATTTCTAATGCCAGCTGCAAACTGACTGGATTGCTTACTTGATTTTTTGAAAAATCATAACCTTTTTCACACATGGCAGATTGAATGAAAGGGCTGTTAACAATGGTGTGGAAACTAAATCCATCCATTACTGCTTTAAGTCTTGAAATCACTTCTTAAATTGGTTGCTATGAGAAAAAAGTTGAAATGTTAGACTTTCTTGATTCTGTTTCAGCTTTTGTTGTCAACTTTTCCTGTTTCTTTTTTGATTCCATGTTTTTTGTCTAGGTGATACGTCATTACAGCTGTGGAAGTATTTATTGGTATTTCCACAGATTTTTCAATTCACTGTTTTTCCTTTGTTTAAGTTGTGGTGCTTCCAAATGTCTGACATTTTGACCAAAAGCAAATCAAATTGATTGATAAATGCAACATTAAATATATATTTTTTAAGAATTGAAAATAATGGATTCAGTGAATCCATTATTTATCTTATCATTCTTATCCAATAGCAAATCCGATTCACTATTGATATTTAGAGAAATGTAGTTATAAATGACAGCCAATGAAGAAATCATTGAATTCTGAACTGTTTTACAAAGTTGTGAGAGTTATTTATAAATGATTGATGTTTCCAGCAAATTTAATGAATATTAAATTAAAGATTGATGTTTTTAAATACTTACAGGAGTCAGATAGAGTATAAGTTAAAATCTCCACAATATACATTAAAACAATTATAATTAGGGCATTTATAATGTTTAAAGTTATGCAGTATATATATATATATACATATATATATATATATACATATATATATATATATATATATATATATATATATATATATATATATATATATATATATATATATATATATATATATATATATATATATTTCGTTTTCAAAAAATGTAATTAGAGATACTTTTGCATTTATCTGAAATACAAGTAACTTCATCTGCATTATTTCCATTGCACGGCAAACCTCCATATTTTGGTACTGGATTTGCGCAGCTACGATACCTTATTTTTACACCACCATGACATGGCTGACTGCATAATGACCATGAAGACCATTGTGTCCAATCACCATTCACTATGAAGAAATAAGTTTTAATTTTCACAAAACTTTTTCATTTAATCTGAATAAAAATATAACTAGAAACATTACAGAAAATGTTAAAATATATAAAAATATTTACCTCTACATAATGTATTATTTTCAGAATATTGAACATTATTACCAAAACAATCATGTCCACCATCAGCTGGTGCAGGATTATTACAATACCTCTCTTGTCTTGTAAAACAAATACCACACGAGTTTGAACATGATTCATAGGTAGTCCAATTGCTCCAATTCCCATCAACTAAAATATAAATCAATTTTTTTCTTTTATAAACTAATTGTAATAAACAAAAAAACAATTAAAATCAACACAATTAATTAAATAAACTACTATTGTTATTTTATTTTATAGTTATATATATTGCAATAATCAATATATATATATATATATATATATATATATATATATATATATATATATATATATATATATATATATATATATATATATATATATATATATATATATATATATATATATATATATATATATATATATATATATATATATATATATATATATATATATATATATATATATATATATATAATATATACATGATTTTTTTATGTTTTTTATCTTTGATTTAATATTAATAAAAAATAAATCCATATCAAATTCTATAAAGTTCTTTTTAATCAGTTTATCACAAGATATCGGCATAATACATATAAAATGTCATAAAAATTTTAATCTATTTTTCAATAAATATAATGTAAACTTAGTAGAGCAATATGTTGTTAGAAAAAATTTACATAAAAATGTGCCACTGCATAAATCTGGCAAAATAAAAGTGTTTGTTTAACGGTGAAAAGTTAAAAAAAAAAGTTTCATGAAGAAAAAATAAATCAAAAAACATTATGGTAATAAAAGTTTAAAAAATAAGTGTATAAACAAGAATAAAGAATTTAAATAAATAAAAATAATAAATAAGAAAAAAACACCGAAACAAATTAAAACAAAGTTATAAGAAAATAGTCTCCGAAAATGGAAAATAATTTTTGCTGCCGCCAATATTTTATGGAAAGAAAAGAAAAAAAAAAACAATTTTAATTAATTTTGTACATAGTTTATAAGTCGTGCATGTAAAAATTGTTGAATGTATTTTTTTTGCATTTTTCTCTGTCAATATAGTTGTTGTTGCTTTTTCTATATCTTTACTATTGTTTTATTGATATTTACTTTTGTCTAGTTAATCTATATAAGGCGTAATATAGGCTTTAATATTGTATGTTGTAGCGTCATGGCCTACTTAAATTACACAGCCTGATTTGTTGGATTTTCCGTAAAAAATTAAGAGGCCAGTTTTTTTACGGCTCAAGTATAAAAACTTCATTTTTGTTATGGTTAAGAGTCTTGTTTGCAATATAGCTGTTTTATCTTTGTTTTATTCAAATGGTTTAATAATAGTTAGATTTTCTTTGAAAACTTACATTATTTTTTGCTAGATTTTTTGTTAACTGATTGCCTGCTTCAGTTTATTCCAATAACAAAGAATACTGAAATAGGCTTTCAGATAGCTATATCAACACATACCAACATTCTACTAAAAATAATCTTACATATTGCTAAAACTACTCACAATTCTTCATTGGAAATAATTTTAAAGGTTTGTAATTTTGTATTTAATATAATTGCAATTATTAAGTAAAAAACATAAACTTTTCTTTAAAATATTTACACTACAAAACAAGGTTTTCCAATGTAAATACTTTATTATGCTGCATGTCTCAAACATACAGTAATTAAAATGCAATAAATCAGGCCATTTATTTACAGTAGGCAAGAAATATCAAGCATACCAACTGTTTTGGAGTCAATAGCTGTTAATAAATTTCTAATTTTTTTATTGCCAAATAAATGCTTATCATATTTCTTTATTTAAATGGTTTCGCAGCGGTGAAAATTACAAATTGAAAAACTATAAAATATGAGAAAAATCATTGACAATAATTTAGTATCAAGAGATTATTTGCTTCTTGTGGGCAAGATGTAGTTCCAAAAAGCAGCCCATTATCAAAGTGGTAAACAATTTGATGAAGATTGAAAAAATAATCTTTTTAAAGAAGTTTTTAAAGAAGTTTTTTTGTTTTTATGATTGTAGGGCTTCAAAAATTTATTCTTATGTTTTGAAATCCTCATCTAAAGTTTACATAACTGGTTTATGTTGGAAAAAAGAAATTGATGAGTATATTACCTCAATGCACCAATCTGAATTTAAGATAAGAGCTGTTGTTACCGATAACCATTCTACAAATGTTAATGCATTTTTGTAGTTTCATAAAGCATATACTGGAGATGGAAAAGTATTAATTTATCATTTAGTTTAGAAAAGGAGTGTTTAAAACATACTTGTTATTCTTGGTTTTTGTTTTTTTCTTCTTGTTGAAGTTACTGCTGATTACATTACAGGGAATATATTTCTTAAAGTTTATTAAAAGATCAATTATTAAACAGGCAAGAAAAAGCAATAAAAATTAATTATCAAGTCACATATTTTGGAAACAACAAACAAGTCGTCAACATTGACAATATTTGACGAAACAACTGCAGCTGTAATTTAGAGTTATTTTTCTAAAAGAAATAACGCAGCACAATTTTTATCATTGTTTTATAAGTTATTTATCATACTTAATTCAAAACAGAAACTTAATTCATCCAATCAAACTCAGCAGTCTTGCTTTGAAAGGTGATAACAAACCCACACTTTATAGAGAAATTGCAAATTGTACTGAAATTTGATGAAAATAAAATTTGATAAATACTTTACATTAACCAAACAAACTTCTTGTGCTCTAATTACAACACTACAAGCAATTGTATTTCTTATGCATGATTTCTTTGAAGAAGGCTTTACATTTGTTTATAGTTCCAATTTACAAAGTGATCCTTTAAAGCTAGGTTTTAGTAAGTATAGTTAAATGACCAGTAGTAAATATTTTGTGAGTCTCTTAGAAATATGCATTAGTAAAAAGATTTTGGCAGATTTTCCCAGAAAATATTTATCAGAATTTCGATAATCCTTAAAAAATATTATGCAAAATATTTCTTAGTTGTCTACACAAATACAACTGTCAGCTTTCTGAAGATAGCACAGATATATATACTAAAGCAAGTGATTATGGTAAAAATTAACAAAAAGATTTTAATGTAAAACTTATGATCAATAAACGTTACTTTATAAAGAGAAGAACTTATATATTCAATTCAACCTCTGTCTAATTTTATTTGTCATTTTTTTAGTATTCTATGTTATTTCTCTAATAAAACATTGCAGTCATTCTTTTTCAATTAAAAAAAACGTGAAACAAATTTTAAAGATTTGAACTAGCAGTTTTAATTTTACAAATAAAAACCACCAAAAATGGGGAATCAAATATAGATTTCGTATTGTTAGCAATATTTTTTATAATAAAAAATTACATATTTATTGAGAAAAGATCAAGTAAAAGAATTCCAAAAAAGACAAAGACAAAATAAACATTTCTAACAAAAATTTCTTCTTTTAACTTCAATTATAAAAAATACAAAAGTACAAACCTTTTTTTTGTTCAATAGAGAATTTTAGACAATCTTAGCAACATGAAAGATTATTTTTAGTAGCATGTTGGTATGCGTTGATATAGTTATCTGAAAGCCTATTTCAGTATTCTGCGTTGTTGGAATAAACTGAAGCAGGCAATCAGTTAACAGAAAATCCAGCACAAAATTAATGTAAGTACTCAAAGAAAATCTTACTATTATTAAACCATTTTAATAAAATAAAAATAAAACAATTATAGTGCAAACAAGACTCTTAACCATAACAAAAAGGAAGTTTTTATATTTGAGCCATAAAAAAACTGGCCTTAATTTTTTACGGAAAATGCAACAAATCAAGCCGTGTAATTCAAGTAGGCCATGGTAGCGTATGTATATACTTTTTTTTATTTAAGTTTGTTTTTAATTTGGTTTTTTATATTTTTCAGCAAAAATTTTTTTGTCTCACTCTATCTTTCTAAACTTGAGTAATTAAAATTTTTGTTTTTTCTTACATTTTTTTCTCACTCATCTTATCTCATCTGTTCATTCTCCCTTTTTTTTCTTTTTTTTTAGCCTCACTCTTTTATATTTTTGTTCTGATTCCAACTTTTTTAATATTGTTGTTCCTATTACTTCTTTTTTTATTACTTGTATTAATGTAGTTTACTTTCTTTATTATTTCCTTGTTTTAATATTTTTTTGTTTATTTTATTAAGGTGTCACTCCATTGACTAGTTTTTAACTATATGAATGGCACCAAATCTAACTTTGTAAGTTATAATTAAATTTGTAATTTTTAAATTTACGGTTAAATAAATGGATAAAAAAAAAATCTCAAGTGTCAAAAAATATATTTGTTTCAAACAGATTTTTGAGCAGTTGTGTGAAGCATCATTAGAACTAATCTGCATACAATATACTAAATACATACAATTGGTTTAAGTACAAATATGTTTATCAATGTTTGATGATTGGCAAGATATAGTCGGAGTTATGATGCTGGTTTCTTTTTTAAATAATTATCATTTTTTAAATGGTGTTGTTTCCTCATGGTATAAAATGTTATAAATAGATGATTATTTCTTTAAACAAAATTAATAACAGCTATGTCATAAAAATTGTTATTAACTTATTATTGCTGCTCATTTAAACTGTTGCATAAGCCCATTATATATATATATATATATATATATATATATATATATATATATATATATATATATATATATATATATATATATATATATATATATATATATATATATATTATTTTAAAACATCAAAAATACAATTTCTCTCAACACTTATAATTTTTTTATTATTATAGAAATTTTCGCTGGATTTTAGATACCAGCTTCTTCAGCTTGTTAAATGTTACAGTAATTAATAAAATTGTTATAATTTAAATTAAAACGTTGCTATTGACGTCAGCAGTTGAATGGCTTCTTTTTCGCTGAAATTTAAAAAATGGCGTCCAAAATTTAGTTTTTACGTATTGACGTTTTTTTGTATTTCTAGGGCTTCCCTAACTTTTCTTTTAAATTTTTTATTTTCTACTTTTAATGTTTTTGTTTGTTCCCAAATAATTTCTTTTTTGCAAAATGTTTTATGCAGAGCTAATGCGGATTGATGCTGCTTATTTTCATCAATGCTTTTTTGGTGTTGATGCATTCGTGTGTTTACTTTCATTTTTGTTTCGCCTACATACACTTTTGAAC